TCATCGTAAACCTCTTGGTGACCTCCAAAGCTCTCAATCCACTCTCTAATGCATCTTGAATCATCCTGATTGCTCCTCAAGCTCCGGTGTCGGGCTCAAATTCGCTGACTTTGACTCCAAATGACACAAAACTCGAACCAACGCCTGGTAAACATAACTTGAGCTAAAATTGAGACCTGCAACACCTTAAAGCTAGGAAAACCATCAAAAGTCGATCCCAACATGCATCAAATGTGTGTCCAAATACGGACTTATCATGGTCCCAAACATTTTTAAGTGTCATTTATCAATATTAATCCCTTGCAGTCACCGGTCACTCTAATTAAAAAAAATGGTACTTGCTTGTTTATAATTATCCCAACTATAATCTTATCATTTTTTATTCACAATATAATAAATAAAAAACTTTGCAAATGGAACTAAACTAGCACTCCATTCTTATATATCTACTAGACTAGTCTCAATGTATGGATTGGTTCAAATAAAAAGTGATCCCTAGGTGAAAAGTAAGCACTAATCTAGACCTTTAATTTGGTAAACTGTAAGGATCAGATCAAATTTTAATAAACTTATTTAATTAGTCAAACTCGCTGATTGAATTCACTATTAAGAACCGCTATTATAACCTGATATCCGCTAACTGACAAGCACACCCTTTATATTGTTGGATTAGGAATTACAATTTTTGTTACCAATAATTAATTGATAACAAAATATTAATTATTATTGTGTATTTAATACTACCTTTGTTCCACAAACATTGAGACAAGGGTGGTTGACACACTTAGGCTTTGTTTGCAATCACTTGTGCTTAAATAAAAACACTTTTTTGGAAAAAGTGACTAGTAGTAAAAGTTGGTAGTGTTTGGTAAAATAAGTGCTTTTTGTGTAATAGAAAAAGTAAAAAGTAGATTCTACACAAAAACTGAGAAAGTAAAAATTGGTAGTGTTTGGTCAAATAAATGTTTTTTTCTTTAAAAAAAAAGCCAAAATCACTTTTCTTGAGTGATTGCAAATAAGCCCTTATTAAAAAAAGTAGTGTATAATCACTAAAATACGAATACAGTATCAATTACTTAGAACCACACAAATATTTTCTAAATTTGGTATGAAATAGTATCAGTGAGACTGACAGAAAATGGCGTTGATCTGATTCTCGAAAGTTACGGACTCATGAGAACCAATCGTTTACTTAGCTATCCTAAGTAAAATTCATTTTCACTATAAGCCATGTGCTCCCAAGTTTTAATTACGGCTTTGAGACAGAAGAGTTAATTTTTTGTTTGGGGTTGTAAATCTAACAATTATAGACATACAATTATTGAATGATCACGGGCCGGAGTATTAGGGGTGTTTGGATCTGATTCTCAAAACTGATTCTGCTCCTTCAGGGAGCAGAAGCAGAAGCTAGAGTGTTTGGGTGAAATTCCAGAAGCACTTCTGAAGCTCTAATTTACTCTCAGAATCAGTTTTTTTAGAAGCTGAGGGGTACCAGCTTCTGAAAACTGAATCTGATTCTACTTCTGCTTTTAAAAAAGAAGCAGTTCCAAACACCCCTTATTAATACATTATGACTAAATTGTTGGATATTTTGAGTAAGAAACAACATGGAAAGTACACAATTTGTCAAGTGGATTCCCATGTATGTACTACTTAATTACTTTTTCATACGAAGAAAATTCCATAATTGTATACGAGTACAAAACAATGACAGTCTAACTCAAATCCCATCCTTTATTTTCACTCATATCGAACACCTGGTACTTAGGATGTTTTTACTTGGACTGTAATTTGTCCCAGACCAGACCAGATCAGACCAGTCCAGACCAGACCAGACCAGTTCAGACCAGACCAGACCAGACCAGACTTGGATAGTTATAAAAATACAAAGAAACCAGACCTTACCAGACCAGACCAGACCAGTTCAGACCAGACCAGACCAGATCAGACCAGACCAGACCAGACCAGCAAATTACAGTCCAAGTAAAAACATCCTTAGTACTTCGTATATAATAATAATAATAAGATAAGAATAATAATAATAGTAATAGTAATAGTAATAGTAATAGTAATAGTAATAGTAATAGTAATAGTAATAGTAATAGTAATAATAATAATAATAATAATAATAATAATAATAATAATAATAATAACTACTACTCCGTATATAAGTGGTGTACGTATCGAAGGAAATTTAAGATGGATCCAATAAAATATATGTGGGATAATTCCTAAAATAGGAATAAAAATACTTTAGAGTTTCAAAATATAATTGTTATTTTCTACTTTAAAAAATAGTAGTCACTCTGTCATGCTAAGTGCTAACATTGTCGTACTATCTTTTCTTATTGATTCGTCCCACAAAGGCTTTTCCATATTGATGGATAATTGGATATCCAAACTATATAGAGTACTCTCTCCGTCTCATTGGACTTTGCCAACTTTTCTTTTCTACTTGTCCCAAAAAACTTTGCCATTTTCCTATTAAAGTAACTAATTTGTGGTTCTGCACATTTCTCTCTCCTCTGCACAAATTTCAACCACACAGTTTTTACTATTCTTATTTTTCACCTAACTTGCACTTGGCAAAGTCTACCGGGACGGAGGTAGTATAATTTAAGAGAGATTGAACAAAAAAGGTGGAGAAGAAGATGAATAGTAGAAAAGTGTGAAAATTGATTGTGTGAAATGGGGTTTACAAGGGGGTTATGTATAGAAAAGTTTACGTCTGTGTCTCTAATATGGGATTGACAAACCCAGTTACATAAAAGGATTGATAATATAAAACACAAATCTGGAACATCCTAATAATAATAAAAAGGTAGATTCTATGGTACTTAAAAGGTACCATACATTTGTCCACATAGACCTATCAGAATGTTGCATTTGATTTATTTAAATCTAGATGAAAAATGATCTAATGATTTGGATCAATCATGTGAGTGGTAGGTACGGTACCGTGTTTTTCAAATGGGTACTGAAGTTGTCACCAAATAATAATGTACAACAATATAAATGCCATCTACTGAGCGTACGTGAGCCGCTGTCCGAATCCAATAGTCATGAGATCGAGGGGTCCGAATCCCTATACTCTATCACATACCGAACTTGATAATGTTTATATGGTTTTTTAAATCATTCTTACTTAATTTTTCACTTTATCAATCCTCTTGTACCAATGTAATTAGGGAGCTGGATGTAGAACTAAATAATACTAGTACGTAGTATCAAACTTACAAAATATTGTCACATAACATCAAAATATGACAACAATTACTCGTATTTAGGGATGAGGACACAAAAGCCCTATTTTGAAATTCAAGATAATTTTCACACATTTTTTAGATGTGAAAATAAAACTTCCGATCAAAATTGACTATTGAGGTGAGGCTAAACAATTTCTTCATTTTTTCTAAAAATAAAATATAACTTCATTTTTTCTAAACACATTTTTCCTATTCATTCACTCTTAAAAGAAGAAGTTTTAGCTAGTTTTATTCTTTCAGAATTGAACAAAATTAAATTTGAGTATCATACGTACGTATTCCTATTTATGTTAATATTGTCGTGCTATATAATAGCTAGACAATAGTAAGAACCGTTACCCTGAAAAGTTAAATAAATAGAGTTACATTATTTTAAACAAAAGATAGCAATATGTACAGCCCTTTAGGAATTCTATAAAAATAGAGCTGAGAAAGCACCTCACTGCACCTGATAATCGATCTAACTCGATTGTTGGAAAAAGGACATCAAACGTTTGTCCTCCTTTCATTATTAATTTAAACTCAGTGTAGGAGTCCAATAAGAACTTTGATTTTGGCTACAAAAGGCATATATACTTCGTATTTAGAAAATCTCCGTCAGAACAAAAAAAAACATACAAGCATTTATACTTAATTATGACTTATGAGTATATATAAATGTTACTCCGAGAGTTCAAAATTCAACGAAATGGAACCACGTAAGAAAATATAACTCTACTATAAAACCACCTCAAGTCATAGCAGTATTTAAAATAACGAGGAGATGGTTGTTTGCGGCGAGGTTCCTTTATCAGAGAATTGAACTGCAAAAAATTGTTAGAACATATTGTAGGGGTAAATAATGTGTTTTACTTTGGATATTGTTTTACTTTGGAACCTCAACTGACAATTATTGCATGCAGCAAATTGGTACGCTAAGCAAATTTCGTTATCTGGCCATAGAACAAACTTCGAAATTCCAGTCAAAATAACCATTTCGAAATATCATAGTTTGAGAAATAGGTTTAAAAATATCCTAATTGTGAAATAAGTTTTAGAACTATCGATCCCTTTTCGTGAAAAAATTAATCTCATGATCCATTAACATCACGTAAATTTGGATAAAATTATGTATAGAGTTCATTATTTGAATTTTTGGCTATTGATGAGGTTATTATGAATAGAGTTCAATGAAGAATTATGATACTCCTTTTTAATCATCCCATTAATTTTGTCATTTTTCTTTTAAATAATAAAGAATTTATGGTTCTTGTTAAATCTCCGAACTCCATATTTTATTAATTTCTTTATGTACCACTCAACTTGGAATTGATAAATTAAAGTATTAAAAGCAACCGATGGGGTATGTTATTATGGACTTCCTATATTAGATGCACATTTGTTTTTTCCTAAATTAGTTGTACTCATGACTGACAGAATGAGTATGTGAGCTCGGTCGTAACGTAATGTATATTTGAGTTGATTAATTAATTATTTACATATAACGAATGGTAAAGTACGGAAACTAAGAATCCGTAGTGCCAACTATTTTTGGCCATAATGACTAAGCTATGATACTAATTTTCTTAATTTAGTGCTTGGGGTTACAAAGTGGATCCACATTATTAGTCATAGAATTGTGCCCCTGATGAATCCATAATTGTGGTCCCATACAATATATATGTGTGTGGTGATCACAATTTGTACAAATAGTTTCCAAAGAAAAGGAGTTGCATTCTCTGCAATAAAAGTGTAGCCTGGATCACTTAAGATTGTAAATGATGTACCCGAGTCAAAAAATACGGCGAGACCAACATGTTTAAGGACATTTTGGTGCACAACAATTTCCTCAATCAAAACATTGTGAGCTTCACTGCATATAAGAAGATTAAACAACAGAATTAATTAAGTCTCTATAAATTTAATTAACTACGTAGTATTAGAATTCTGGATTACTATGAATTAAGATTGTAGTAATGACAAAAAGACATGTAGCTAGCTTGAATATACAAGATACGTACTTTTCTATGGTTAAATCTAATGGAGTTTTCTTCTGATTGCGAGTTCCTTTGTCTCCAAAAATTAATCTCCCGTTCCCATTGGGTGAGAAACAAAGGGAGAAGGAATTGCCAACAATCCCTTGAGAAGCAAGGATGCTAAGCACATCCATATCTTCAGGCCCATTATCCGGCCCAAGCCCCAATAGCCCGTTAACGGCAGAAGAGCGCACAAATAATCCTTTTACCTTGGACGCACACCTTTAATTATATGGACAAGGCGCAATAAAAGAAATGAATACTACAACATTGGAAAATTACGTAATTGAATAGGACTAAAACTCAAATAGATGCATCACTAGTCTTTTGATTTTCTTATATAAATAAAATGTGTTTTCTGCCAATTACGAGTATGGATTACATTTTACTACTTTTAGGACTAAAATCAGTCTTGTTTTCAGAAGAAAATACAAATACTTCTTTTTATACATACGTTTTAGAATGTTAACGGTTACCCAACGTTCTCGAAATTTTCAGTTCGAAAAACTGCACCAACAAAGTGATGTGATTTTTTTTAAATTATTCTAAAAAAGAACAAAGTTAATTAAGTTTTTCTTACCTAAATACTCGGCACGCTAATTATGAACATCGTGAACATTAATTAGATGGATACTTTGACCAAAAAGTCAAATAAGACAAAGCTATGACCGGAGGGAACATTGTCAATTTGTCATGACGTGCACAAATATGTAATAATAACGAAGCAGCCATCATCAGGACCATCACTCCAATTTTGGGCTTGGATTTTCCACAAATGCATATGCACAATACCCCCACCCCCCAAAAAAATGAATGCACAAACATTAATATCTACTTTTGTCATATTTGACTCTTTAAATCAATAGTTATAGACTTTAATTTGACCAATAATAATTTTGATTAGTACAAAGTATACATTTAATTTATGAAAGTTATAATATGATTCTAATATGAAAGTATTTCAACAACGAACGTTTTTCATACCAGTTTTACATTACAAATCATTTCATATAAAAATATACAGAGTCTTATTCATCAAAGTTTACCTTGTTTGATCAAAAAGTTAAAAGATAATAAAATATTACTCCCAACCGTTTTCAAAAGAAAGTCACAGTTTGAGTTTTCCAATTTTAAGGAAATTGATTTATTGAGGGGTAATTTTTACTGTAGAGAACACTGTTTTGACACTGTTTGATACTATTTGGCAATTGCATGGGAGCCAAAATAATGAGCTCCCGGTGTCTAATGCCTTTTACAAAATGATAAATGTAAATTAAAGTCAGTAAAAATTAATTAAAAACATATATCAGTCTCACGTACGGTTAATTGCTCTAACTGAGACCATTTATATATTCAAATCATCAAATGTTAATTGCGTAAAATCAGTGACGGAACCAGAACAATATTTGAGCCGGAGCTAAGAAATACATTAACATGGATCGCCCACAATATCTGGATCGAATTTCACACGAGAACATTTGTTCCTATTTTTTTCTTCTTGCCTTGTTTAGGAGACCCGCTGCCCGTGTTACAAATTGTAATATAAACATAGATAACCTACCAAATTAAAAAATTAGAAATTCATAAGTTTCAAATTACAAAAAATGTAAAATCATTAAAATCTCTTTTATTTAGTCATTTTATTCACGTGGGAAAAATTTTTTTGTGAATAATAGTCATTTTTATTTTATTTAGGTTTTTTAAACTAGTAAAACAATTTAAATCAATACACAAGTTATGGATAATTAAAATAAATTTAAAATCAGAATATTAACCAACTAAATCAAGAGATGATATTATAAGTAATTGAGTAGACGCCTAATTGTTGAATTGCTAAATAAATCAAATTAACAATTGAATAAAATATTCATTTTACTCCTAACGCACTCATTGGCTAATCCGTGAAAGCTGTATCACCTGTAAACCATAAAACCCCAATTCAAATATTCAATAAAATCTGCTGAGTCAACAAATAAAAAAAGCCAAAAAAATCACCTCCGTATAAATCGTTGCCTGACTTAGCACTCCGGTTCGACATCACCTCCGTAACCTTGTTCGATGAATTCGATCCATCGCCTGCTCGCCGGAGTCGCCGACATCGAAGGGCCAAGGCTAATCCTCTACGGTTTGCTCGTCTCAGGGTTTCCCTCGAAATAAATTTCTGAAATTCAATCTTAATCACACACCCAACTAGGGGTGGTTCGGTACGGTATACCGAAGATTTTATCTCATACCTTTACCATACCGTAAACTTTCGGTATGCAAAAATACATACCGTTACCATACCTAAATTTCGGTATACCTTGTTTCGGTATACCAAAATTTCGGTACGGTAAGCTACGATATCGGTAAATTATCATGATTTAATATCAAATTATTATATATCAAATGAAATATAGAAAATTAGTGTTAATAGTGATATACTAAAATTATTAATGAAATTGATTATAAAATATCAATGATAACCTATTTGTGTTCTATTCAACTTTGAACAAAAAAATATTATAAATATGTACGGATACTTCAACACATGATATATGAAGATAACAACACATTCTGCTAAAATAATAATTTAAACAACATAAATATATTTGAAATAACATCGATCTCCAACAAAAAGTATAAATAATTCAAGAAACATGGATATAAAGTCATTATCCTTGAATTAATGTTGTGTTTCTAGTTTTTTTTTTTTTAATTTTAAAGAAATTATTGGCTTGGAATTACGGTATGACGGTATAACGGTATACCATTTATTTCCAAAATATATACCGATACCATACCGAAGTAATTCGGTACGGTATCATACCATACCAAAAGTGTCGGTATACCAAACACTTCGGTAAATTCGGTATTTTTCGGTATGGTAAGTCCGATATACCGAAATTTCGGTATTTTTCCCCACCCCTACACCCAACCGCCCATTTACCCACTTAGGTTTAGCTAATGAGCGACGTCGTTTTGATTTCGAATCATTTAACCCAGTGACGTCGTTTTGGACTTTTAATTAAGTTTAAAAAGCCCAGCTGAAAGATCAGAAGAAAGACATGCCGTTGATATGCAGAGCTTCCAAGCTGGTGCGGAACGGCGAAGGTAGAAGAAGACCCGGGACGCTCATAACTCATACCTATATATACCTAAGACTTTCCCGCGAAGGGGTGGCGCCAGCACCGGCTCGCTCCCCCTGGTTCCGCCCCTGCGTAAAATGGTACGAGTACTAAGTACTTCGTACAATATACGATAGTATATACTACCACACTACATCAATTTCTTTTTTTTACTCCAAGGGTTGAGGGGGCTGGGGGGCTGAAGTAGTTGAGGCTAAAACTCACTCCAATGAGTTTCGAACCGGAGACCTTCCGATTTTTCCGCCTCTAACGTCCGATTAGAGGCGCTTTTCTGGTCAAAAGCGCCTCCAATATTTTTAAATTTAATTATTTTTATCGATTACTTGCGGCGCTTTTTTAACAGAAGTGCCGCACGCATGGTAATTTTTAAAATGACAGAGAAAGCGGTCCAACCCTGCTGGTCGCCGACTCAATGGAGGTCTCGGGTTCAATTCTCAATGGAGTGAGATTGAACCCAGTTTACCCCAGGCCCCCCAAATCCCCCTCCCCCTGACACCCCCTGGGGTAAAAGAAGGGTAATTTTTAAATGACATTTGTGGCGCTTTTAGATGATAAGCGCCTCCAAATTAATGTATGATACGAACTCAGAGGCGCTTTTAAGCTTAAAAACGCCTCTAACATTTTCCGGAATCACAGATCAGAGGCGCTTTTCTGATGGAAATTCCTTTAATTTCAATTTTTGTAATGCATATTTTGCAATTATCAAACATCCTGTTTTATTTACAAAACACTTAAATAGACATTACAGGTGATGGAGTATATGGACTCCGACCCCCCGGTCTGCCGACTACTGGGCCTGGACAACGGCCCACACACGTTTAGCGGATTCATATTATTGTACATTATTGTTATTAAGATGTTCTAGATTAGCTTTTTATACTATCAGTCCATTTATGTAACCGGGTCTGTCAGGCCCATATTAGAGGCCCAGACCCGGATTTTCCCTATATATACTCCTTATAGGAGGCTTGTAAACTCATAACAAATATTATTTCATCCTAAACATTTTCTTCTTCGTCTCCATTACTCCTTTTGATTCTTGTTCAATTTCTCTTGTTTATACAATATGAGTATCAATTATCCAACAACAGGTACCTTCATTCTAAACTCCATATTAAACGTACAAATTGTTTTATTTAGAATTAAACGTCATACAAATTCAAATTTTCCATAACAATGAAAATAAATTACATCTTCAAATGTCCACAAATCCTACATATTCATAACTTCATCTACAAAAAACTTAGCCCAGACATTTATGATATTATCAAACTCTTCCTTTCTGTATGATTCAGTTCTTGAATTCCAAACCTGAAAGCATCCAAAAGAACAAAAATAAAATGAATAATATTAAACTAAATTATGTAAACTTAAGTTATTATATATATATGTATATATATATAAGTAAAAACCTATCCAATACTTGAACTTCCAACATAAGATATTACTTCCCACATAAACTTTATGACATAATACCCACATTCAGTATTGCCTAATTGCATGTGTGACTTGCACACTTGAAATTGATGAAAAATATACAATAATATTACATAATATAATTCTTTTAATAATTAAGACATAAATAATGTCACTAAGAGTATATATGTGATAAAATGTATACAAGACATATGTGAAATTTTAAATTCATATTGTTTCATGTTTTATACTACGTATAACGTATGTGGTAAGACCAAACATTAAATAATCTTTTCCTTGGCATTTTCTTTTTCTTTTCCCTACCATTTTCCTAGTTCCAAAATTCATCAAGTGATGGTCAGGAAAATGATGGGTCCGTTTGGAAAGAAAATGAGAACAAGCTTACTGGATGAACGTGAGTTTGAATCTGGCGTTGGAAAAAACATCCAAGGGATTTTCCTTGTTCCTATGCAGTGCTGGCACTACACAAAATTCTATTGACACTCGATGTGGACAAAACATTGTTGTATGCCCTTCAACAATAATTAAAAAAAACTCATGTAAATCAAACGACCATATGTACTATAAAAACACAAAAACAAGTATATGAAGATGAAAGATGCCACTGTAGTTGAAATAGCACTAGGAACATAATAACTTCAAT